CTCAAAACAACCCTGTGAAGTAGGGTTATCTCATGTTATTATCTCCATTTCATAGATGAGAAAATGAAGACTGAAACATTAAGCAACTTTCCCTAAGTTATAGAGCTAGTAAATGGTAATAAAAAAGATTAGTAGAAGGATTGTAATAAGAATGTTAAAGAGCTCTGAGAATGTAGAGCAAAACATGAAGGAAGGAAAAAAATTTAATATAGAAAACCAATCCAGGGTGCTCAATAATTGACTACTAGGAGTGCCAGAGAAAATGGAGATTTAAAATGGTGGGGAAAAATTATCAAAGAAATAAATATGAGAATTTTCCAAATCCAAAAGATGAATTTTGAGTTCAAGGTGTCTTCCACGTATCTAGAACAATGAATGAAAAACATTCAATATGAAGGTGCATTATAAAATATCAGAACATTGGAGATAAAAAGAGGATATCCTGTATCCAGAACACACAGATCCATGAAGCAAGAGGAAGACATGAAAATGGCCCCATTAAATGGGTCACTGAAGAAATTTTTGCCTCCTTTCCTCACGATCTTTAGCTTATGATTTTGAGATCCTATATCCAAGGGAGGAATGCATCCATCAGGAAACACCATCAAGGTTCAGACGAATTGGAAACTGAGACTGTCCCCTGGCCATTATGACCTCCTCAAGCTCTAGAACTAAAGGCAGAAAAAAAAAAGTCACCATAGCCGTGTGGTGGTTAATCTCAATCATCAAGGGGAAATGAGGTTGCTGCTATACGATGAGACAAAGATGACTATGAAACCCAACTGAGGCAACTCAATAAGATAGCCAACCCAACAAAGATAAGTCTATAGTGGATTCGGATCATTTGGGAGTTAAGGTTTAGTCACTGCACCAGATAAACAATTAGACCTGGTCAAGGTGCTTAGAAGGAAAAGGGGACATGCAATGAAGGGTTGAAAAAGAAAGTTATGATTATCGCCTTGAGCCTTATGGCCTCCTACAGAAGGGAAATTCAATAACAGCTACACTTTATATTATTCTCATTCCCAAAACAGCCCCATCTTATATGAAGAGCACTAGCATTGGCTAACATTTTAAATATTATCATCCTATGATGATATGCTGGCTAATAGGACCATGTGTGTCCATTGTGTTGGGGACATTGATTGCTGCACAAGAGATTGCCATACATGAATTTCTTAAAGGGCAGGTAAAACTAGGAAGATATTGGGGCTTGAACTGCATTTTTCAGTGTTCCACACAGAAGGGAGATCTATGAACAAAAAAGACAACAGAAGCAAAGATCCAGAGTTTCCCTGTCAGGGAATTAGTACAATGTGGAGGTCCCTTTCAGCTCACTGAAGAAAGATATAAAAAGTAAACCTTTTATTCTCTAAATGCATCTTAACCCTACTGATACACCCTCTTTACCTCATGAATCAAGTTCTCTTTGTATCATACAGTACCAGTTGGCATGACCCTTTCTTCCTGTTAGCTCATTTAAGAGACTGGCAAAAGTATTCTCTGACATCCCTGTGTTGATGAGATTAGTGACCAACTTAAAATCTGGATTCCTTCTAGCAAAATTTTCAGAAAGAATTCTTTTAATTTTACAAATTTACATAGCGAATAGTTGGTTTAGCTTGTTAAAAACTATATACATATTCCTTAAAATTCTGATATATAAAAAAATTTAGAAGAAACACTATCATAAAGCTAAATTTTACTTTATGAACTACTGTTTCAAAAAGTAAAGCAAGCATCACTAGATGGTCATTTTGAAACCAAGTATAAGCAATTATAGTGCTCTTCCCTAATTCTAACCAATCTTTGCTTATAAATAATGACAGAATGCAAAATCAGAAATATTAATTTTCAACTAACTGTTCTTTTTTTCAGTTAAACTGCTTCTCTTTGATTCTGTGTATCATAATTTATAGAATATAAAGAAGAGGGTAAGGAGTTAGCAACCATGTCTAAAAAAATTCCGAAAAGATCAATGTTTCTAATTATGAAAGAGGCCAATAAATTCTCATTAAAAGAAGCAAACAGTATTTTTTTTAAAAAAGTCCCTCATTAATCCCCATCTCCAAATTCCCTCTCTTATAGGCAGCCACAGTTAAACTTGTTAGGTATGCTTTCAAATGCTTTCTATGTTTCTATCAAAACGTACTTTTTTATACAAATAAAATAACCTTATAATGTTGTGTAATTTCTTTTTTAACCTGTTATATAGTAGATATTTTCCCAAATCAGTACATATCAGCTCCTTTTGATGAAAGTTTAGGCTATTTCCAATTTGCCAGTAAAATTAATGCTTAATTGAACATCTTTGTTGATGTATCTTTTCATTTTTGCGCAAATAGTTTTGTCGGACAAATGTTTCTAAGTGAAACTACTAGCTCAAAAGATATATAAATTTAAAAATTTGTTAAATTTGTTGTAATTGCTAAATTGCTTCTCAAAAAAAGTGCTAGTATATACACTTATGGAGAGTGTATGAGAGTTAAAAAATAGAAAATGCAAACTGTTGTTAATGTGTGTCTTTAAGTTATTCCTCTAACAGTAGGTTTCAAGATGAGCTGGTCTGTTTTAATTTTCTGTCTTTTATCCCATATGAAAGTCACCCAGCTGGGTGGGTAGGGGATTCTGGATAACTGTTCTAGGAACTGAAACTCATGTCTCATCCCTATACTATTAGCACTATGAGCTAAACAAATGAGTTAACTATTGTTATGTGTATGTATTTTGAAATAAAGACACATCAACTACCTACATCTTTTAGATCTCAGCTTTCCTACTTTTACTTTCTAATGACCATACTTTTAATGCCATGTTTTTGTTGTTGTTGTTTTTTTAAATTCATTCTGGAAGTTTAAAGACAGGATGGCAAAATTTACTAGCCTCTATGCTCTTGAACCTGCAGCAAACATGGTTGCCCGTTCATTCCTAATAGTGTAATATGGTCTTTTTCTCTGAAGAAAAATGCCTTTCCCAGACGTATTCTAGAATAAATATTATCACACTAATACCACCTCATATTAACATAGAATTTTACACTTTACAAACCTTTTTCATAAATATCGTTCCATTTGATTTTCACAACACCCAGGTGGTGACTGGAAAGGTATTATCTCCACTTAATTGATGAAACAGGGTCACACAATCATGAAGTAGAACTAAATCTAGTAGGGCTTGAACTTTCCACACCACTATGCTGCCTCTTCCAAAAATACCAGGACAGCATATTCCTTTTTGTAGATATTTTATTCCATAGTGGTAACATTCACTTCCTAAATCTCCTTTAGAACAAGGTAAAATATAAATTTAAAAAGAGGTGGAAAAACCCATAAAAAAATACATTTTCCTTTTTGGCAATTTTACTATTACCTTTCTAAAAGAAGTCATTCTTTTATCTTTTAGGTAAACTGTACCTAAACATATATCCTGTGACATTTTAATAAATATGTGCGAACGGTTCTAAGACAACGGACAATGTAAAATGTAATTTTTTGCAAGTTGGTCATACTAAATGTTAATTACATGCTAGGTACAGGTTTCATCATATTTCTTATTCGTATTCATCTTACTTATTCATATTTATCATGTATAGGTTTCATCGTATTTTTTTCCTACAACTAACCATCAAGTCACAGGACTAATTTGTTTCAGATTTGCTGCATTTAAAATAATTCCCTTGATTTCTTATTGTAAGGATCATAATTGCTGGTCAGCAATAGGCTGATCTACAAATAAGGTGTTTTTGGAAAGAAATGGTGAGTCTTGCCATTTTAACAAAGGATTATAAAAAATTGTTTTCCTTTTTTTGACCCATGTCATTGATTAATAGCATTCGTTTCCATTTTATTCTTCATACATTATAGTCATAATTTCTGGTGTTTCTTTAGGGCCAAAGGAAAAGAATCTGAGTATTCTGAGTAATTTTTTTGATTTTTATCTTCAAAAGGGCCATCCCCATGTAGTGGAACAAAGACTAGTGTTATCTGGAGAACAGGACTTTTGCGTAGGCTGCATATTGAGCATGAACTTGGACAATTTCTCTTTTCTGGGCTTTAGTTTCCTCATCCTTTAAATGAAGGGGTGTATTAGTTCTGGACTATAATCTCAAGGGTCCATTTTAGCTCTAGCATCATCATTATAAAACCTATTAACCAACATTTGTTGAGACAAGGCATTCTAGTGTATAGATAACATTGTAGGAATATTTGTGGATACCAAAAAAGTAGCTTATCATCTGGACAATAGTTTCAACAGTTACTAAATATCAACAAGCTCAATGGCCCAAAAGAGGTAACATCCTGTGATGTGGTTCAGGTTAGGACTTGAGACCTGTAGGACCAGATCAGGTCGCAGGAAGTATTAAGTAACAATTTCGGTGCACTAACTGGTTGCCAAGTAACCTTAAGAGTGAAAGCCGACTACCTAAATTGATATAGCATTGTATGTTAAAAAACATAGAAGAAAAACGATGTTAAGCAAGAATTAGCAAATACAGCAAAAATAGAAACAAATAAGTGAAAATTTCTCCTGTAACTGCAACTCAATTCCCACATTTCAAGCTAGGGTTCAGGTGTTTAGATCTACCATCCAGGCCAAGAAGAAAGTTTTTCTATTAGTCTCCAAAACATCGCTATCGGGGAAAACAGCCATAAGGTATCTATATTATTCAAATCACCCCCAAAGAAACTCTCTCCCACGGTTAGGGAGCGTCTCAACATCAGAAGAACCCTTTTTGCGGCCTCTGCCTCCAATTCGGGCCTGCAAAGCGGCTGACAACACTCGCCGTGCCTAGGCAACGGTCGGAGCATTCCCGGCGGTGTTAGCCCCGCCTCTTGTGCTGCTTCCGCCACTCCGCGCCTCGAACCTCCTCCTCTCATTGGTGGGCGGCGGAAATGCGTGAGACAGTGCGCTCACTTCCGGCCAGGGAGCGCGCGGGTTGATTCGTCCTTCCTCGGCCGCGGGTGCTCACAGCTCGGAAATGGCGGGTAAGTTCCCGGGAAAAGTTTACCAGGGGGAGGGGGCGGGCAGGTTTGAGAAAGAACGCCTAGACGGTGGTGACAGTCCACGCTTGAAACTTTCGGCCTCTAGCCTCGGTTCCAGAAGGCCTATTTCAACCTGGAAGTGCGGAGCTCTGAGCGCATCTCCTTGTCAGCAGAGGTTCGTGCCCCCGCCCCCAACTGCTCCGGGTTCTGCGCCTTCAGCGAAGAACTTGGCCCCTGCGTGAGGGACGAAGAGGCCGGGAAAAAGCATCGCGATTTGGGTTTGTAAGGTGCCAGGTGCTTTGAGGCCTGTTTCTCTTCTCGTTCCTTTTGCCCGCTACAGCCTCAGCTACACTAGTCTATTTCTGTTCCCGCCAGCTGATTTTAATACTCAGATCCTCCTCCTCTTCCCGATCTCCTCCACCTTCCACTACCGTCAATTTAAGAGCTAGCGCGTTGCTGCCTTGCCCTGAACTTGAGGGCTCTCACTTGAATCTTTACTGATTTCATAGTCGTGTCCTTTATCTCTCACATTTTAGTATTCCTAGGATCTGTTTAGATTTCTTTTGAGAAAAAAGTTCTCACATTCTTCCTTCATCTAAACTTTTAGAGTGTGTCAACTACGATATAATTCTCTTGTGGTCATTCTATCCTGCTCTCTTCGTTGAGTCTTCAGTTTACATTTAATAAGTAATAAGTGCTATAATTTTGTACGTGTATTAAGACTGTTTTGATGTGAGTATATACTCTTTTTTCCCAATTGCATATCTTTTGACATGATGGACAGTTTCTATTTTTCTCTTTTCCCGGTGCCTTCATAGTAGTCTCATTACACTTTTATGGATGTGCTAGATAGACAGGCTATATCAAGACTCTTACAGATGTATAAGGAAGAGCTGTAGGATCTTGGGGTACACTGGTACTGTGAAAGAGGGGGGACATATGCATTGCATACGATGTACATATTGTAAGAATTACACCTGAATTCAAACCTCAGTTCCACCGTTTAGTAGTTGGGTGCCCTTAAAGAAATAAACTTCTTTTTAAGCCTGAGATTTTAACTATGAAATGGGGCTGATATAGTATCTGCTTGTTTTATGGAATTGTGAGGATTAAGCTAATGTATGATTTCACAAGTTAAGTTTTGTTGCTTAGATTACACATAATTCCTCGAAGTGGGTTGTATTATCTGTTTTATAGATTAGGATCAGAGAAGTAATGTGCTCTAGTTCACATATCTAGCCCTTTTCCCATTTGCCCCAAGATAACTTGTGAATTACAGTCCTAACTTTACACCCAAAGTTTGTCATGAAATATCTTGCTTTTATTATTATTTTTCCATTGCTCTACTATATCAATAATCTTTGAAAACAAAAGACATTCTTTTTATAGCATTCTATTTTTAGTAGTTGGATCACTGAAAATGTAAAATCCTAGAAAATGTAGCATTCCTTTGCGAGCTGCACTTTTATTTTTTCTAAATGGGAAAAAGGCTAGTAAATAAATGACTGGATTTGAATGCAGGATTATTCTGACTGAATAATTTATATTCCCTCTTGTTTCCTCATTTTGTGTGTGTGTGTGTGTGTATTAACCACTTATTGAAGTTTATGTCGTATGATTGTACCCATTTTCTGCTCACGACTTTTTCTCCTGAATTTTTTTACTAATTTTTATGTAATTTGTCAGATCGTTATCTTTGCTTGAAAGTTCCTCTTAATAATGATTCTTCCATTGTTAATTATTTGTTATATATTGATGATTAGTCACGTTGTAAAACAATTTGGTTATTCCAGTAGTCCTGGAATAGTTTGTAATTTTATGCACAGATAGTAGGGAAAAAAAAAAAACTTTAATACAGTGAAAATTTTCTCTTTCTAACCCTGTCCGCATTCCTTCTCTTGTCCTTGAGGTAACCATGGTTACCAGTTTCTTGTGTATCCTTTCTGAGATAATCTATGCATTATCAGTTGATGTTTTTTAATAGTTGGTCTGGAAGTACTTTTTTCAGTATTAGAAATGGGAGAATTTTTTCAGTATTAGAAATGAATTGCTATTGTAATTATCAAGGGACATTCTCACTTTATTTCTTTGGAGCAGTGGCTTTCTTTTTACATTTCTTTAAAAAAGGCTACATAGGTATAAATCCTAGCAGGTAATTTATATTAGTATTACGTGTTCAGAAATGTCAGTAGTCTGTCATGTTAATTTTCAGGTTTACTCATTTAAGTAAAGCAAGCCTAGCTTGTAAGTCTTAATCTCAGAAGTGATGTTTTGTCTGTTTTATAATGAGACATTCATACTCTACATTTATTTAGGAGTATATGCAGAACAACCTGTACTTTTATGATCTATTAAAATGCTTTAAATCTTACCTTTATGTCACTACTAATAAGAACCCTATTTTTGGTTTGATAGTTTAAAACCATTTCCAACCTGACCTTTTAAAAACCTTTTCTCTTAGGATTTGGTGCTATGGAGAAATTTTTGGTTGAATATAAGAGTGCAGTGGAGAAGAAACTGGCAGAATACAAATGTAACACCAATACAGCAATTGAACTAAAATTAGGTATGTGTGCCATTTTTAAGTGCTATTGTGTATGTACTCTGTGTGTGTGTGTGTGTATGTGTATATATATATGTATGTGTGTGTGTATATATATAGTCTTTTTAAATTTGAAGTAGAATTTTATATAAGTGTAGTTTATGTAAATATAGTTTCTGCATTTATTGAACACATTCAGATTTTATTCATTCTTGATTTATGTCATGGAGTGGGTAGGTGTTTGAGAGGTGGCAGAGTTTATATACAGGAAGTACAGTGTGGCAAAAAGTGACAGGAACAAGTGATCTCAGTCTCTTAAAAATATTTATCTTAAAAAATATATTTATCTTTAGTTTTTTCCTTTTAAAAATAATAATGTGTTGATAAGGATGTGAAAAAGTCATAAAATGCTGATGGGAACATAATGATACAATTACTTTGGAAAACCATTTGGCAGGTTCTTGAAAAGTTAGAAACATGAATTTATTATATGACCCAGCAATTCTATTCCTAGGTATCTACCCAAGAGAAATAAAAACAAACGTCCATACAAAAACTCATACATGAGTGTTCATAGCAGCATTAGTCACAACCCAGATATCCATCGACTGGTAAACGGATAAAGTATGGTATGTATATCTATATGATGGAATACTATTTAACAATAAAAAGGAATGAAGGTGTTGAAATGCTACAACATGGATGAACCTCAGAAACAGTCTAAGTGAAAGAAACCAGACCACCTCCCCCCTCCAAAAAACCCCACATACTGTATGATTCCATTTGTATTCCATATGATTCCAAATCCATAGAGACAGAAAGTAGATTGATTATTGGTTGCCTGGGCCTGAGGGTGAGAATGGAGAATGACTTCAAATGAGCATGAGATTTCTTTTGGGGGCCATGGAACATTTTAAAGTTAGACTATAGCAGTGGTTACATAATTTTAAATTTAAAAATTATTGAATTATACTCTTAAGTAAGTGAATTTCATGGTATATAAATTATACTTCAATAAAGCAGTTTAATTATTTTTTCACAAATCCTTGTGCAGACATTTTATTCCTTGTACAGACATTATTTTTCTAAAACCAGGATCCTGTTGTTAGGCTGTTTTGTTGTTGAGCTTAACAATGTCTTAAATGTCATTCTCTGTAACTACGTAGGGATCGACCTTATTCTTTCAGTTACATAATACTCTATGACTATATCATAACTTATTTAAGTATTTCCTTTTGGGGGATTGCTTCTCCCTTGCTATTAAAAATAATTCTCTAATAAATATTCTTGTGTTTATTTAATCCACTTGTATGAGTGTTCGATGGAATGTGTGACTAGAATTTGAAATGCTGGATCAGAGTTTCTCAACTTCGGTACTATTGACTTTTTGGGTTAGATAATTCTTTGGGTTAGGTAGTTCTTTGTTATTCTATGCATTGTAGGATGTTTACCAGCATCCCTAGTCTCCACTTACTAGATGACAGTAACATTATTCTCCATTTGCAACAACCAAAAATGTCTTGTGACATTACCAGTATCCCCAAGGATAATGAGTAAAATTGCTCCTGTTTGAAAACCACTGTGCCAAATCCAAGGAATGTGAGCATATATTTTAGTAGCTATTGACAAATTACCTTCCAAAAAAGTACCTATGCTTACACCAGAATTTTATGAGATATTCTTTTTAACTCTACCCTGGTCAGTGTTTAATATTATTTAAAAAAAAAAAAAGCATCCTGCCCTTCCCTTCTGATGGGTGAAATATGGTTTCTTGTTTTAATTTGTATTTTGTCTATTAGATTCAGCAGCTTTTCTTTCTTCCTTTTGGCCATATTTATGTCTTATTGACTGCATTCTCCCCACAACAGACTTTTGGCCATATTTATGTCTTATCGACTGCATTCCTTTTGGCCATATTTATGTCTTATTGACTGCATTTTCCCCACAACAGACTTTTAAAAGAAATTCTAGTGAAAAGTACATAACATAAAATTTACCATCTTTACCATTTTTAAGTGTATAATTCAATAGTGTTGATTATTATATTCACATTGTTGTGCAACAGGATCTTCAGAACTTTTTCTTTTTGCAAAATTGAAGCTGTATACCCATTAACAACTCCTTATTTCCTTTCCCTCCAACCTCTGGCAGCCACTATTTTACTTTGTAGAATTTGACTACTGTTGATACCTCATATGAGTAGAATCATATTTGTTTTTTTGTGACTGGCTTATTTAGCATGATGTCCTCAAAGTTCATCCATTTTGTAGCACGTGACAAGATTTCCTTTTAAGGCTGAATAATATTCCATTGTATATGTATATACTGTCTTTTATTTATCCATTTATTGTTGATGGATATTTGGGGTTCTTCTACCTCTTAGCTATTGTGAATAAGTGTTGGGGTTATAGGATCTACTTTATAGTAGTTAATTAAAAGGAGCATTTTTAGGCTAGGCAACCCTTGGTTGACCTCACAGATTGCAAGGACCTTGTCCCCTTACAATTCCTTATTTTTTATTTTTTATGCCTACAGCACCTGATCTTCCTAGGTGGTCTCCCATCCAAGTACTAACCAGGCTTGACCCTGCTTAGCATCTGAGATCAGACAGGATCAGGCTTGTTCCGGGTAGCATGACTGTAGACTAATCTTAATTTTTTGAGGAATCTTCATACTGTTTTCCATAGTGGCTGCTTCCTTTTGCATTTCCACCAACAATACACGAAGATTTCAGTTTCTCCACAACATTGTTATTTTCTGGGCTTTTTTTTTTAAACTGTGTTTTTAACCATCTTTTGATTTGATAATTAAAATTGATTTTTCTAAGAAAAGTATATCCTTTATATTCTAAGAAAATCAGCCCTTTTTTGTCATATGTTGTAAATATTTATTTCATAGTTTTGACTTTGGTGAGTTTGTTATGTAGAAGTTAAAACATTTTATTTATCTTATTGTGGTTCTGGTTTGCATTTCCCTAAATGACAAATGATGTTGAGCATCTTTTCATGTGTTTGTTAGCCATTTGTATATCTTCTTTGTAGACGTGACTGTTCGTATTCCTTTGCCTTATTTTTTAATTGGGTTGTTTTGCTATTTTTTAATATATTTTATTTACATATAGTTTTTAATATATTTTAAAAACTGATGATTCTCTTACTGGAGTCTCTTACTGTTTGGGGGAGTGATTTCAGCTGATTTTCTTTTTTATTATTATTAAATTTATTGTGGTGACATTGGTTGTTAAAATTACATAGGTTTCAAGTTACAAATAATATGCACATGTATATTGCATTGTGTTCACCACCCAAAGTTAAATTTCCTTCTGTCTCCATATATTTGACCCCTTATCTATTTTCTTTTTCTCAGGCATGCAATTATAGCATCTGAATATTTTAGTAAATTTACTTTCTTTTCAATATATATGCTTTTTATTTTGTTCTCTTCACATTGGCTAGCACTTTCAGAACAGGGTTAAAAAATGATAGCAGTCATTTCTTGATTTAACAAGAATAGTTCTAGTAGTCCTTCTCTAAACGTGATCTTGGCTTATCACATTGAAGAGTGTTTTATTTTGTTTTGCAGAGTTTTTATTCAAACATGCATATTAGAGTTTATCATGTGGTACTTTGGTTTCCATGGAAATAATTTTGATTATACTGTTATATACGATATCTATAGTAGATAATATTTAGTAGATTTTATTATTAGATCTTTAGATTTTGAACCATACTTGCATTTCTAAAGTGAATACCTTGATATATTTTAACCTATCAATGAAAACTTTTATGTTATTTAAGTATTTTTACATATTATCATTTATAAATGGGATTGGTCTGTTTCTTCTTTGTGCTTTCTTTTTATGGGAGGTGGTCAGCTTTTTTGTATTCTTTATGACTTCTCATGGCCTTCTCGTTTTACTACTCTCACCCTCACCAGTTTTAGATTGACCTATAGATTTAGGTAAATAGATTTATCTGTTCCTCTGAAACTTGAAGGAATTCACCTTAATCGTAATGAAGCGTTCCTCTTCTGCCATTTAATGCTTTTTTTTTTTTGCCTTAATAAAATTTAGATCGCATTTTCAGGTTTTGTGGTGTGCATGATAACGTTTTTTACCCTTCCATTTCTTTTAACTTTCATTCCTTTTAGGTGTATCTTTTATTGACAACATATTTAGATTTGATGGTATAATTTTTTTACCTAGTCAATTTATCTCCTTTATATTTATTGTTGCTTTTGTCATCTTACTTTTGTGTTGTTTCCTTGTACTTTCTCATTCCTATCTTTTCTTATGCAGTGTGTTTTATTTGCCCTTACTCCTCTCTTGTGTTCAGTTTTAAATTCTTCTAAAAAGCCATATAAGCTATTTTGTAGATACAGTATGTATTACTTCTACTGAGATAATCTTTATATTTTAAGTTTTTTCAGCACTTATTTAGCTGTCCTATGTGGTAGACACTTGGGCACTGGAAATAGAACAGCATACAAATAGCCCTCTCTTCATAGAACTTACTTTCTGACTATGAAAAACAGACAAACACATGAGAAATTGTGATATATGTTATGGCAAAAATATAGGGCGATCATGTCCTACTGCTAAGGTGACATTTGAGTAGACACTAAAAAGTGAATCTGTAAGCCATGTAGATAGCTCAAGGAAGAGTGTACCAGGCTGAGTATGCTGGACATGTTCAGGGAACATTAAGGAAGCCATCATGACCGAAGAAGATAGCTTGGGAGGATGAAGTATCTGGAAGCCAAATGAGGAAAGTATTCAAAGAAGGAGGAAGTAATTGGTCAAATGTTGCTGGTAGTTCTAGTAACAAGGACTACTAGAATATGGTTATTTGATGATATATTTTTTCAAGAGAAGTGTTGGGGTTATAGGATCTACTTTATAGTAGTTTACTGTCTTTTATTTATCCATTTATTGTTGATGGATATTTGGGGTTCTTCTACCTCTTAGCTATTGTGAATAAGTGTTGGGGTTATAGGATCTACTTTATAGTAGTTAATTAAAAGGA